ACACACACACACACACACACACACACACACACACACACACACACACACACACCATCCCCACTTGACATCTTGGATTTTCCCATCTCAGCTCTTTTAAGTGTTAAGTTCAGAATTAGCATTCTCTTTTAGAACATGGTGCTGGGCTGGTGACTGATTAGAACCGACCTTTGAGGATTGATCACATTATCCCACCACTTACAGTCATGTAGCTCATTGTAACTGCATTTTACCCCTCACTGTCATGGAGGCAGGATGGCAGGGTTGCCCTGTGTTTCATTTATGAGTACGTCCCAGTACTTTACAATGCTTTTGTGGTTTTTAATGTTTGGGCTTGGTTGTTAGAAAGCTTTTTTTCCTTGGTTTTCTTGGTGTAGTCCCTGGAACCAGTTGGCACAGAAGTTAGAAATGCATTGTAGAAAGGCTATCAGGGGCCTCACAGCTTCATCTCAACAGGCTCCCATCCCAGCTGTCCTCTTTATCCATTCGTTAGTCCCAGGGAGACGGCACCATTGAATATAGCAATATAGTGGGTGTGTATATTACCGATGGAGAGTACAATGATAAGTACTTCAGATTTTGAGAGTTTCAGAGCACTGTTTACAGCTACCCATGGATAATTAACAATTCTTCTGCTTTCTTTACAGTGTTTCTTTTGATCGGGTGTCAGACATCAACTTTACTCTCAATACAAATGAAAGTGTAAGTAAGTTTACTGTTGTAAGTGATGTGCCACTGAAGAGGTGGAGAACCAATGGGTTTTGCTGGAGGCTGCATGTATTTGTCCTGTGCAAGAGAGCCCATAAGGAGAATGTATGCAGGCCTTTTACATGCTAGTTTAAAATCCAGGCTTTCTTGGGAATTTTTTGTTGTTTACATAGAAGCTAACATTTTATATTTATGCTTTATTTGAGTATATGTGATAGGCACCTTTTTTTAAAAAGCAAATGGAAAAATAATTTTCACTGGTGAATTGAGAGAGAAAACAATTTTGACTTTAGTTGTTTTCTCTTTTACTCACTTTTTGTAGGGAAATATTGCCCTGTTTGAAGCATGTTGTAAAGAACGGATACAGCAGTTTGACGATGGCGGTTCTGATGAGGAGGATATCTGGGAGGAGAAGCACATTGCGTTTACTCCAGAATCCCAGAGGAGGTCCAGGTGAGCCGCGGCACCACCAGTGTAGCCTGAACCCAGGGCCAGTGCTTTGTTCTATCAGGAGGAATGCTCTTAAGAGTGGATGGAGGCCTGGAGAAGAAGACCCAGTGGTTAAGAGCACAGAGGTCTCAGTTTGATTGCCAGTGCCCACATGACAGCTCATAGCCACCTGTATCTCCAGTTCCAAGGGATCCAGTGCTCTCTCTGGCCTCTGTGGGTACCCGGCACAGAAGTGGTACACAGACATACATGCAAGCTAAACACCTATACACAGTAAATAAGTAGACAAGCAAAAAATATTAAGAGGAAATGGGCCAGCCCCCTCTTTCCAGCAACATGGCAGGTAAAGCCACCCTGAAAACTCTTTACATAGGAAGCATGGAATGTGACCCTATTGCCACCACACACCCCCACACATCCTTCTTTTCCTTTTAACTTGGTTCTCCTTTGTAGGTAACTTAGTGAAGAAATTTTATGTATTTATTTATTTAGGTTGTGCATGTGTGTGCTTGCAGGAATCAGTTTTTTCCTTTGAGCATGTGGGTCTTGGGCTCAAATTGAGTTCATCAGGCTTGACACAAAGCACTTTTACCCACTGGACCATCTCTATCCAGCAAGTAATGTCTAGCCAATTAGCAACCTCCTCCAAGTTCAGTGAGAAACTTCTTTTCAAAAAATAAAGCAGGCCGGGCGGTGGTGCATGCTTTTAATCCCAGCATTCACAGAGACAGGCAGATCTCTGTGAGTTTTAGGCCAGCCTGATCTATAGAGCGAAATCCAGGACAGGCACCAAAACTACACAGAGAAACAGTGTCTTGGAAAAAAATAAGTAAATAAAGCGAACAACTGAGACCCCCCATATAATCTTCTGTTCTCTACACACATGAAGGCATGCATGTATACGCTCTCACTCTCTCTCACCAAGAAGCAGAGGAGATCAGTTCATTCAGAGGACATAACAGTTTTAAACTGCTTTTTACCTAATGACACAGATTCAAATTTAGCAAACAAAACTGCAAAGCGTGGTGAACGAATTGAGTTGATAGTTTTTTGATAGAAGAATTAAATTGGAAATCAGAAACAGATAGGTCCCTGGGAACTGGGTATGGAGTCACATACTGTTACCTCAGCACATGGGAGCTAGTGTAAGCTTGTGAGGGAGCTCTAGGCCAGCCCTCAGTTACATAGTGAAACTGTGGGAAAATGGGGGGGGGGGGGTGAGGAACTTCATGTTTTTTCAAACTGAAGGAAAATAAAATGCCAGTATAGCAGAATGTGGGAAATAACTGGCCATATTAGATTTAAAGTACCTCGCTTCCGTGGCCTCGGCTTATACATTAAGAAAATAGAAAATGAACAGATTAAAGCCAAATACATAGGCTCTAGATTAGAGTAGGATCTGAACTCCAGAACAAAAACAGGAGAGGAAGCTTGTGAAATAGAAGTGGCTCTTTGAGAAGACCGCTGTACTAAGCTGCCCAGTGAGCAGGAAAAGGTAGCAACTAATGGCAGGAATGAGTGTTCCTGTCAGTAGAGGTTGGACAGATAGTAGAAAGATTGAAAACGATGAGAGATAATGAACAACCCATGTACCAGTGGCACCCTAAATCTTTGAATGACACGAAGAACCATAATTAAGAAAAGGTTGGAGGGTGTGGCATGGGCAGTGCTGTATCTGTTAGGCTTGAGTTTCTATTCTAAGGCTTCTCCTCAGGGAGGCCTATTAGCACTCATCTGTAAGAACAATGCTTGGGGAGACAGAAACAAGAGGATAAGAAGTTCTAGAGATCTGGGTCTGAATGACTTCACTGATGTGCCAGTAAGCATTTCAGAAAGATTCTAAAGTCACACTATTGCTTCTGGATACAAAAATTTGACTCGCTCACATTATAGAGAAGAAAACTGGGTTGTAGGGTCATAAGCAGAGATGCAGAAACCCCTTTAAAAGTTGTAACAGGTCAACTGTGGTGGCACATACCTGTAGTTTAGTGCTCAGAGCCTGAGGCAGAGGGATCAAAATTGTGTGGCTAGTCTGAGCTACGTAATGAGACTATGACCTAAAAACTATTTTTACGACAGATTAAATACAGTAACATAGAAAAAGGACCAAGTGTTTATTCCAAGACTGCAGAATTGCTTGAACCTCTTCAAATGTCTACATCCATTCTTAAATTTAAGCAATCTCCACACATTAGAAGTAGAAAGGAATTTTTCACCTTTATTAAAAGTATTGATGAAAACTATAGAGTTCACCTCATTAGCAGTAAAGGCTGAATGACTTCCTGTGGAGATTGTGAGCTTGCAGGTGTGTCTGATGAGTAACTTCTGTTTAATATTATACCGGACTGCTAGACATTTCAGTTAGAAAAGAGAAAAGATGGCAAATCATAAAGGAAGAAATTGAACATTTCTTGGACAGCATTGTTAATGTAGAAAGTTTGCTTGAGTATGGAAAAGGACTGTAGGATAATTCAAATGCATTTAGCAAAGTCTCACAGCTCATGATCAGTATAATTGTACCCCTCCCTACTGGAACTGTTGAAATTACTAAATGATGCTGTTCACAATACTGTAAAAAGTAAGATACATAGCTCTAAAGGCTAGTACACTGAACTCTAAAACTCATGAGGGTTGATGAACTGGAGATAAGCTCTAGTTCTCCACATGGATCCATGAGATCCACGCAGTACCCAACAAAATCCTAAGAAGTGATTTCTCAGACTATTTACAAGTTGGTTCTTAAATCCATACGGACAAAACACTTCCCAGAAGATTTTGACTCAGTTATGCTCATCTCTTAATCTCAGCAGCAGCTGGATCTGTATTGATTGTCCCAGCAAAGCAAAGGTTTCATTTTAGTAGTTCTGGTCTCTTGTTAATCATAGTCAATTCTTCAGCTCCAGGTGACCAGAACCACTGATTTTTTTAATACAGAATAGCAAATGCTCCAGATTCAGTCTCTGCTTCCTTCTCAAACTTCACAAGCCAGGCCTCCATCATTATGCATTGCTCTCAACATATTCAGACTCACACAGAACAACAGCCCATTAAACCCAAGTACTCAATGGCTTTCCCAGCTCAATGTTCTAGAATCCTTCTGTAGTTCTCTTCAAAATATGGTCTGGTGTGTCATAGCAATAGGCCATTCTCTGGTGCAATTTCTGTTTTAGTTGGGTTTCTATTGCTGTGATAAAATACCAGCCCATATGCTGGCAAAGGACACATGCACTGGCACAGCTGGGGGAGAGTGCACTGCAGGTCAAGTCCATCAGGAACTCGCACATAGGCTTTAGAAGTCTCTTTCCCAATTGAAACAAAAGGGGGGGTGTTTCAACACCCTAAGATGGTGTATAGAGGATGATGAGAAGAAAAGACCCCCGCCCTCAGGAGGCAGAGGCAGGAAAATCTCTGTGAGTTCGAGGCCAACCTGTCTACAAAGCAATTCCCAGGAGAGCCAGGACTACACAGAGAAACCCTGTTTCAAAAAACAAGCAAACAAAAGAACAAAACAAAAGGTCTGGAAAGATGCTTAGTATGCTTGGCACATACAGAGTCTTCCTTTTTGTGAAATGACATAGACAGGCACTATTCAGCTGAAGTACAGTGTGTTTTCACATTGTAAATGTCCTTTGAAAGCTTCCTGGACATGGCTGGTCACTGATTAAGCAGCTTAAATATGTCAATGTTGTTTTGTAGCTCCGGCAGTACAGACAGTGAAGAAAGTACAGATTCAGAAGAAGAGGACGGGGCCAAACAAGACCTGTTTGAGTCTGGCAGTGCAAGCGCAGAGGACAAGATGGAGGTGGACCTGAATGAGCGTGAGTCACCCAGGCCTTAGGAGTTAATATTCTAGTGCTTGAAATTGCCTTTTTTTTATCTCTGTGAGGTTGAGGCCAGGACAGCCAAAGCTACAGAGACCCTGTCTCAAAAAAGAGGTGGGGGGGGGGGGAGATTGCCTGTTTTTGAAAATTGGCAAAAGAATGGCCTGTGACATCTGAGATGTTCTCTGAGGCACAGTTGAGGTAGAAGCACTGTTGCCACTGCTGTGTAACTTTGAGTCTTTCCTAGGGAGGAACAAGTTATATATACTTGGAGATGATCGGTTTGAACACTGTCTCTATACGGTTTAGGTAGAGAACATGCCCCCCCACCCCACACACTCACCTCCCTCCAGAGCCAGGCACTGATACTGTAACAGCAGTGGAAAAAAATCACAGACTGGGCCTGGAGACATGGCTCAGTGGTTCTGAGTACATGCTGCCATTGCCAAAGACCTATGTTCAGTTCATAGCACCCCATCAGGAGGTCCTTCATAACTGCCTCAAGCTCCATGGGATCTGATGCTCTCTTCTGCCTGTCGTGGGCACCTGGACACAAAGTTTGTTTGTTTTTTGTTTTTTTTTTTTTTTTTTGGTTAGGACATAGATAGCCTATAGAAATGAGGAAATAATTGTGTCTTATGGAGTTATGAATGGAATGCACCAGGGGAGCCAAATTAAGCTCAAATAATTGTAAACATGTCTTACAGTTGTGAAACTCCAAACTTTAGCCTTGTTCAGCTGGTCCACATCTGTACCCTCCTGCTTACTAACTAGAAGACTTGATTGTGCTGCCCCTTTAAAAACGGCAGGGATGGGGTGGGGGATGAGAGGGCAGTATTCGGTGTTATGGTAATGTGATTGAAGACTTTACCTAAGCCTGACCAGTTCCTTGTCACCAAGGTAGCCTTTATGTCCTTGGTTCTTCGGGAAGCCACACAGCCAAACATGGCTTTAGCGTCATCCACAAATTCCTGTAAAGCTCCATCTGGAAACAGCCTTCTCATTCTGCATTCTGAAAGGTCCGTGTCCTCAGGCCCAGGGCCTAGGCTTCCCTGCCCTTGGGTTCAAATCCGCTTGGTTTTGTGTGCCAGTTACCAGGCCAGTAATGATAATTGCCACAACCTCTGCCCTCTGCTTGGTGCCCCAGAGGAGTAGTTAGCACTCGTGGGCAGGGTGCAGAGGGAGCTGCAGCAGGCGGGTCTTCCGAGGGTGTGCTGCTTCTGGATCACTGACGAGGCCGCTGGAAGGGAAAACAGCCAGCGAGAAGGCGGAGTCCCACAGACTGCTTAGTATGTGTGGCTCAGGAACAGGGTGGGGTGGTGAGGCCGAGAAGGGACTTTCAGAAATGTGTTTGTGGTTAGTTATGTGTATGCATGTATTATTTGTGGATCTGTGCACGTGAGTTGCAAGTCCAGAGCTGTGGGATCTCCTGGAGATTACAGGCTGGAGTTACAGGTAGTTGTGAACCACCCTGTGCATAGGGTGCTAGGAACTGAGCTTTAGGTCCTCTATAAGAACGATTTGTGTTCTTGACCACTGAGCCATTCTCCAGCCCCCCAGAATTGCCTTCTGAAGGTTGTAGGGAACTGCGGAGCACTTGGCAGACAGAAACAAAGCAGCAGTGAGCGAACTGGACTGGATAGCCAAGACATCATAGGGAAACAGCAGGGGGAGGGCGCTCTGGCGTCTGCAGGGCTGCTCTCCTGGGCTCTGCCCCTGGGGTTTGCGTATTTCACACTGTTGTGCAGCAGGTCACTGGAGCTTTGTCATGCATCCCTGCCAAGCAGTCCCATTGCCCTTAGTCTCAGTGCTGCTGTTCTTTGAGATGTTTGGATCTAGCTAGTCTAGATGTCTCATGTATTCGGAGCCGTTACAGCCCTGTCATTGGGGACGGTGCACTCCACTCAGCAGTGCCTTCAAACTTATTCCCTGTTGTAGCTGATACAGGGTTTGTTTGTTTTTTTCCTTTAAAGCTAAAGAATTTTCCAGAATCACTGGGCATGGTGACACATATCTGAAATCTCAGTCCTTGGGAGATGCAAAAGAATCAGAAGTTCAGGTTCATTCTCATTTACTCAGCAAGTCTGAGGCCAACTTGAGCTACAGAGCCTGTATCAAAAAACTGGGAAGAGAAAAAGGAGGGTCAAAAGAAAGGGGGTGGGGGATGGAAGATGATGGATGGGGGATTCAGAAGGAAGTGAGCTAGTATGACTTAAACAACATGCCTCTGCTGTACCTTGAGGGGGATGTCTGGATGACCTTTGTACTTACTTTAGCACCACAGGACAGCAGCCTCCTATCTCCATGCTGTTTGGGAAAGGCTTCTTTTTTTTTTTTTTTTTTGGTTTTTCGAGACAGGGTTTCTCTGTGTAGCTTTGCGCCTTTCCTGGAACTCACTTGGTAGCCCAGGCTGGCCTCGAACTCACAGAGATCCGCCTGGCTCTGCCTCCCGAGTGCTGGGATTAAAGGCGTGCGCCACCACCGCCCGGCCGGGAAAGGCTTCTTTTTTATCAGTAGATATGAGACACTTCACTCTCTGAACATGTGAGCCACATACACATGTGTGTGCGCGCGCGTGTACATGTGTGTGTGTACACCTACCTCTCTCCCTGCCGCTCTCTTGGGTTGTTTGCAGAGTTTTGAGCAGTTTTGCTGTTAGGTCTGGGGAGTTACCTTGGGAAGGACTGTCACACATCCTACGAGTATAGAATTCCTTCCCCGTAGTCTTCACTGTGAAGTAGAGCTGTCGACCCAATGAACTGGTCCCAGAACTTTGCATACGGTGAGCAGGAAAATTAATTGTTAGGCGGAGTTTTGTATATACTTTGTAGCTTTGAAGAATATTTCAATTGGGAAATATTCATAGGAATCAAATTGCTAGATGAAAAGCCACAAGGGTCACCTTGCCTTCCAGTGATAGTGCCAGCCCCACCTCCCAGTAGCACCATGTTAACTTTTCTCCTAGAGGAACTACTTTCTTCTCATCTTGCCTGGGCTTAAACAGTTCTCCTAGCTCAATTCCCAAGTGTCTGTAATGACAGGCACACCCCACCACACTCAGCCTCAGAAAGATGGTCCCTTTTTAAACTCAAGGATTGACTTCTTCAAGTGATAATCGTCCCTTCGTTTCAGCACCCACCTGGTCAGCCAACTTTGACGTCCCAATGGAAACCACCCATGGTGCACCCTTAGACTCAGTGGGCTCTGATGTCTGGAGCACAGAGGAGCCGATGCCAACTAAAGAGACAGGCTGGGCTTCATTTTCAGAGTTCACGTCCTCTCTGAGGTGAGCAAGCATGTGCTGTCTTGAAGCTTTTCCTGCGTGAAGCAGGCAGTATGCATTTACTGGGAGCATGTGTTCTGCACCTTGTTTTACCTTGGAATGTGGCACCTGGAACAGGATTAATAGTCAGCATGTGATTGGGGCATACTGACACAGCTGTGCACCACAGCAAATGAGAAAGGGAGGGTTTTCATCAGACACCCTGGGGAGATCAGCCCCAGGGTGTTTAGCAGAATGGAATGGAAGATGCACTTCCAGAGCTGTGTAGTTTCTTAGGCTCCACAGGTGCATTGTGGGGAGTAAGAGCCGGTCCCTAACCAACACCTGTGGAATGGCACAAATATAAGGCAGAGTCTGACTTCCCTGTGTCTGTGAGCTTGGTTCTCACTTGCCATCAGTCTAGTGCTGTAAATTAGAGTGCAAGCAGGTGTCACTGCGGCTCAGTAACAGATCTTATTGCATAATTTTCCTGTATAGCTTTGTCAACATTTGAATATTAAGTGTGGATTTCATGTTTCATTTTGTGTAATTGAGGTCTGTTCCCACTGCTGACATCGGAATTTTCTCTTTTCTGAAAGCACAAAGGAGTCTTTAAGGAGTAATTCTCCTGTGGAAATGGAAACCAGCACTGAGCCTATGGATCCCTTGACACCTGGTGCTGCTGCCTTGGCCACTCAGCCAGAGGGTAAGTACGGTATGCCAACATGCCCACAGCAGGTAGAAGAAACAGACAGGCTGTGGTTCTAATGTCTGTCGGTCATCATAGAGAAGAACCTGTATTGTGGCAGAATCACAAAACGGGGAGTCTAGAAGGAATTGGCTCCAGGTGTCCGTCTTGTCAGGGTTAAGGATAGGAATCTAAAGCCAGAGAGAGGAGGAAGCATAATGCCCAGAGTGGAGAAGACCAGACTAGATACCATGCCTCCATCCTGTTCCTGAAGACCCCCTGGGGTTTTGCCGAGGCACATGGGGTATGAACTTGATCTCCCCATATGAGCAGGTGAAATTAGTCATAGGTGTCTGAATCCTAGGGAGCTATCTCATTGCTCAGAATGTTCACCTGTGTTCCTTGCATTGACCCTGAACTGTTTGCAGACTGGTGAAGAGCCATTGGGAGAGTGAACCAGCAGCGCCTGTGGTAGGGAGTGTGTGTGTATGGAGGCAAGAGCCTCAGGAAGAGCGAAGCAGTGAGTTTCTGGGAAAAGAAAGAGGCAGTGAGCAGAAGCCTCAGAGCCAGAAGAGGTAGCTGGTGGGGGCATTATCACTCCAAATAATTGAGCCCACAAAAATTCTGTCAGCACTCCATTGACCTGGTATTCAGGTTTCATTTTTGTTGCCATGATAAAACATCTGACAAAAAAAAAAAAAAAATCTAGGAAAGAAAAAGCTCCATTTGACTTACAATTCAGGTTCTAGTCCATCATTTGGGAATTCAAGCAGCTGGCCACATGGCATCCACCTGCAGGAGCAGAGGGCATAAAACACCACCTTGATTGTGTTCTACATCAGTTAACATCTGTATAATGCCCTCAGACCCACCTGGTAGAGTTACTCAGTTGAGACGCTCTTTGTAAACTGTGACAACTTAATATTTAAAACACCATTGTAGCTGGTTTGATGAGAAGCTAGAGGCACAGAATAGTCTCCTCTGCCTGGGGTTGCACAGATTGAGAGTGGGGGTAGGGGCACTGGGTTCCGACCCAGAAATCTGACAAGTCCAAGCTCATGACCAACGTACCTTGTGGCCTCCTATCGTAGAGCAAAGGAAAGACCCTTAGGCACATTCCCCCATGTTGTAGAGGAGACCTCGGAACAATGGGGTGTGCTAGGAGGGAAATGGGACCATAGAGCTGAGAAGGCTCTTTGGAACTTAGCAGCCCTCCATTGAGGAAAACGTGTGAGAGAGCCACCCCAGTGGGCATTTATAAGCAACTTGTGCCCATCAAGAGTTGGAGCTGCTACTCTTAACATCTTGAAGCAGTAGGCAGGACTAAGGCAGGGGAGTCTTTCTAGAAAAGGGCATCAGCTCCACAGTAGGCCTGTTGGATATGACTGTCCACTGTGTGCACTTTCAGCACCAGGCAGTGTGGCCATGGAAGCCAGCTCAGACGGGGAAGAGGATGCCGAGAGTACAGACAAGGTAACTGAGACCGTGATGAATGGCGGCATGAAGGAAACACTCAGCCTCACTGTAGACGCCAAGACAGAGACTGCAGTCTTCAAAAGGTAACCAGAGCCTGGGGCTCCTACGGTGACAGCTTGTCAGGAGGAAGGGGGAAGAAAACAGTTGTGACATGTTTAGATTCCAATGAGTATTTAAAAGCTAGCTTGCTGTCTTCCTAACATCTCCATTCATGTTAACCAAGAGATGGAGAGTTTTAGGTCCCTAAAGTGCATTTTTCCTCATGTGTGTGTGTCTTCAGAGTCTAGCAGATTGACAGTGTTCAGCTTTGCTAAGTTGACGTGGAAAGAGGCTGCAGAGGCCACCTGTCATCCAAGGCTCAGCAGTGTGCAGATAGATTGTGTTCTGTAGATATAATGCAGTCATTGTAATTCAGCAGCAAGAGGTTAGTGCTAACTCCACCAGACTTGATTAGAAAATAGCAGACTCACTTCTGTAATTCATGGGATAGAAAAGCAATCGTAAATCCAGATGGAAATTTACATCTGGAAGCTATAAAGGGTAACAGAAAACACTTCCATCATGATCTGGCCTGTAGCTGAAGCAGTGCCTTTCTCACTGCCTAATGAGGGCACCACAAGACAGAACCACAAATGAGAGAAGTAGATTGTAAAGTTATGCCATGTGTGGCGATGCAGTCAGCACTTGGACATTAAAAACTTGCACACTCGGAGATGGAGAGGCAGCTCAGCGGGTAGAGGGCTTGCCGGGCAAGAGTGAGGGCCTGAGTTGAATCCCAAGTGCTCACTGCAAAAGTCGGGCATGGTGGTGCACACTTAGGGAGGCAAAAACAAGAGGAACCCTAGGGCTTGCTGGCCAGCCAGCCTAGACTACTTGTTGGACCCCAAGTCCCAGTGTGAGGGACTAAAAAGAACAGAAGTGAATGGCTCCTGAGGCATGACACCAGGGTTGAGCTCTGACTTCCATATGCATGCACAGGCAAGTGCATGTGCACTCACATGTATACACATATGCAAGCAAGTGCATACTTGTACACACATGCACACACACAAACAAGTAAAATGACTCGGTAAGTAAAAGCATTTGCTATGCAAGCCTGATAACCTGTTTTTATTCCCTGGGATTCATGTAAAAAGAGAGAACAGATCCCTGAAAGTTGTCCTCTGAGATACAGATACACACACACCTACCTCACATATACACATATAATAATGAATAAAATAATTTTAAAAATAGCAAACAATTCAGCCTATTTGTTTTTCCCATTTTATTTTATGTGTATGGGTGTTTTGCTTGCATATATGTCTTCACCACATGTATTCAGTGCCCACAGAGGCCAGAAGAGGGTGTCAGGTCTCCTGAGACTGAAGCTGTAGGTGGTTGTAAGCCATTATGTGAGTAGTGGGAATTGCAGCCAGTGCTCTTAACCGCTAAGCTATCTCTCTAGCCTCCTCCACAGTATATTTACGTTACAAGACTGTATAACATCAGCATGAGGTCACATTGGGGTGACATATAATTACTAGTAATAATGGCACATTACAGACAGAGCCAGCGTGACCTAGTGTCTGCTTTTCCTCAGCACTGTGTTGGTGTCTTAGTGAATGCAGTATAAAAATATAAGATGTAAAGATGTGAGGTAGAGAAAATGGTCATTGTTTATAGACTGACTTTCTACATAGAACATTCTGATTAAATCTATAGATAAGAATTGGAATTAATTTTTTTGGATGCATAAGAAAACTCATTTTGTCTTATAAACCAGGCGATTGAGGTGTATGTGCTTTAATAAAATGTGAGCCTTCATCAATGAGAATATAAATCTTAAGGGAAAAGAATTTAAAATCTTATTGGAACCTATAATAAAGACTGAAATAAATACAGAGATGTGCCAGATTTATTAATGAAAAGGTACCCTCAACAAACGTTTTTCTCAACAAACGTTTAAAATCAGTCAGATCCCCATCATCCCACAGACAGTTTGACAGAAGTTGTGCTATTCTGAAGAAGAGCAGAAAGAGACCCAAAGTCACTTTGTGGTAAGGAGTCAGGGCTTCACCATAGGTAAATCTTAAGACTGGTTAATAAAGCACTGATGACCAAATACTAACAGAGAGGCCCCTCCTCAGCCTGAACTTAATAAGTTAGAACGACATGCACTCCAGTGAGGAAGACTGCAGACGAATGAAAAATGATTGCCCCCTGAGGAGAAAAATAAAATCAGGCCTCTCCTCATTTGAAGAGGAATGACATGTTCATGCAGCCTTTAGACAGAAAATATCTTGACTGTTTAGTATGAAATGTTTTTTAACTATAAAGGAAAATATTGATGAATGTATTCAATTTTTAATATTGCCAAAGACACAGTTAAAAGACAAGCCCCAACCAGGAAAGAGTAGGTAGAATATAGAAAGAGTCTGATGTCAGCAAGAGAGAACTCACATTTAAAGGTGAATATAGGATATACTGAGGTTTGCATCTGTGGAGGAAAATGAGAAGCAAAGCACACAGGGATGCCTGGCTGCTGGCCAATATCAACTGCAGTGCTGCTCAGTGCCATTGCCAGCTTAAGTTACAGAAAATGCCAAACTCACCCAGATCATTTCATGATGGCAGTGAAGCCACTCCAAAACCACAGAAGTAGACACAAAATAGAGCCACTTATTTGTAAGCAAACTAAATACAGAAGTCCTATGGGTGTTAGTTACTGACTGAATGCAAAGGTTCATCCTGAGCTGGCGCACGCCTTTAATCCCAGCACTCAGGAGGCAGAGCCAGGCAGATTTCTGTGAGTTCAAGGCCAGCCTGGTCTTCTACAGAATGAGTTCCAGGACAAGCGCCAAAGCTACACAGAGAAATCCTGTCTCGAAAAACCAAAAAAAATAAAAGTTTATCCTGAAATTCAAGGATGGTTGGATATCAGGGAAATCCATACATCAGATCAAAGAAATTTGACTTTTTTAAAATAAAGTTTTATACTTAGTACATGGTTAATACTGTAAACCACCATAACAAAAGGGTGGATTCCATTAACTAGCTAAGAATTAAAGAGAAGTATAGTCAGGAGGAGAGAGGGAAGCTGTCCTGGAAAGAAAGGATGGAGATAGGGCGAGAGCTTGGGAAGGAGTAGGAGAAGCGGCTTGTTTGCAGACGTGGCAGTGAGCCAGCCAGGTCAGTAGCAAACAGAACTCAGCAAAACCTCAGAAGAGTGGTCGAGCCAATTTCTTTTTTTAGTGAGTAGCCTTAAGCTGGGGGTGTTGGTGTACACCTTTCACAAAACACATCAATATGTCCATTTAGGAATTTTTTATTTAAAAAAATGTATATAATATATTATGATCATGCTCCCCCCAACTTCTGTTAGATACATCCTCACCTCCCTACCCACCCAAACTTTGTATTTTCTCCAAAACCAAACCAAGAAAATGCAAATCAAGCAAACAACAGTAAGACAAAAAATACTACAACAGAACTGAACACAAACACACAGACAACCATGAAGTTCATTTTCATTTAGGAATTATTGTAATGAAGATTTCTGTAGAGAAGTTTGAAGATGACCTAAGCAAGTGGAGACATCTGTAGCCCATCGTGGGACAGCTCAGTGCTACAGAGACATCAGTAAGAGTTCTTAGAAGGAATTTGTTCCGAATACTCTTAAACTGTAGGTAGAAAGTCAAGGTTCTTAGCTTGCCTGGAGGACAAAGAGGTCCAGTTAAAAGATCTGCCTGCTGCCTGTGCAGTCATGCTGCACAGACACGGGCATTGAAGCTGTGATGTTTTTGTAGTTGACGGGTGGCCATGATGATGAAGCTAAAGAGGGCAGGGTTGCTCAATGGTAGAGCCTTTCCTAGCATATATAAGGCCATGTTCATCCCCAGCATCCTTTTGAAAAGTAAGAGTGGAAAGAAGTCAGTTCCCCTGAAAAAGTCAAGTCCAGTCAGTCCCCCCTAAATAGCTTGTAAAGCAACCACAGGGGGATTACAAAGAGAATACAAGTTGATGGGGCTATGAAGGCAACTCTGTGGGTAAAGTGTTTGCTAAGTACTTTAGTTTACAGCCATGTAAAAGGTTAGCACAGGTGTGTGCAACTGTGGCCCCAACATTGAGTGGACAGGCAGACCCTAGAGGCTTGCTGGCCATCCAGCTTAGCTTTGAGAGCTTCAGGCTTATGGAGAGACAATGGCTCAGATAATGTGAGGAGTTGAAGAAGGTAGGTAACGTCAGCTTTTGACCTCCAGGCATGAATACATGGGCAAATGCAGAGTCATATGCCACACCCACATAAAAGAGAAACCAACTGTACATAGTGGCACATGCCTGTCATCTCAGCACTTGGGAAATTGAGGCAAGTGTTGACTGTGTTAATGTCTTGCTTCATATCTAAAACATATCCGTAAGAGAATGCATATACACCTAGGTCTTCAATGTCAGTCCTCATTCTCTAGACCCTGTGCGTGGGTCTGCTTACAGCAGCTCTTTCCTCTCAGGAACCCTCTGAGGTGCAACTGTGAGTTGTCCACACTTTCCAGGTGAGGAGCTGAGCATTAGAGCTAAATGGTGTGCCCATAGTCTCATGGGAATTAACAGAGAAAAAGGTAGACTACTTCTGACCTATGGGCAGAAAACCAGAAGGGTGGCTGGAGAGAGATTGCTCGATGGTTAAGGACACTTTCTGCTCTTCCAGAGGACCTGTGTTCAGTTCCCAGTACTCATGTCAGGCAGCTCATAGCCATCTCTGGCTCAAGCTCCAGGAGACCTGCAGTCACGTACACATGCTCACATACAGATAGACACACCTACTCATCATTAAAAATAAACCTTAAGCCGGGTGGTGGTGGTGAACGCCTTTAATCCCAGCACTCAGGAGGCAGAGCCAGGTGGATCTCGGCATTCGAGGCCAGCCTGGTCTACAGAGCACCAGGACAGGCACCAAAACTACACAGAGAAACCCTGTCTCGAAAAAATAAATAAATAAAAATAAAAATAAACCTTAAAAAAATAATGAAAACAGGACTGGAGAGATGGCTTAGAGGTTAAGAGCACTGGCTGCTCTTCCAGAGGTCCCAAGTTCAATTCCCAGCAACTACATGGTGGCTCACAATCATCTGTAACTTCAGTTCCAGGAGATTTGACACCTTCTAGCCTCTGTGGACACCACGTATACACATGGTACACAGATTTACATGCAGGCAAAATACTCATATACATAAAGTAAAAATAAAAAATAGAAACAAAACCAGAAACTGTAATGCATAAAGAATTGAGATAATCATATTGATATTAAAAATCTCTATTCAGTGATTAGAAAGAGCAGAGAGCAGATTGGGAAAGAAATGCGTAGTTCCTAAACAAGAAACTGGAATTTAGTATTCAGATAATCTTTGTATGATGGTGGGAACAAGAAAGGCTGCTGGGGTGGGATCCCAGGAGTCAGCAGTGCCTGTCACAGACTGTAGGCAGCCCAGGCCTGTCTGGGCTACAGAGAAAGAGTGTCTTCTCTAAGACAGTTCCGTAGAGCCTAAGCTGGCCTCAACTCACTATGAGGATACTATTGAATTTGTGATCTTCCTGACTCCACCTCTCAGATACTGAGGAGGTAGTTACCTTGGGCTTGGTGAGACTCTTCCAAGTGAGCCATGTCTCCAGCCTAGCTAGTCACTTTGAGACTAGTTTGGGCTACCTAGTGAGACCTGTCTCCAAGAGAAGGAAGTGGATGGGCTGGGCAGAAGAAACCCAATCAGAATATGAGCAAAAGACAGCAGTTTACAGGCAGGCAAACCAAAAAAGACTGAAAAGGTAAAGAAAGCATTCTGAGTCACTGTAGAGATGAGAGCAGGCACCACAACCCATTTCTTCGGAAATTTCAGGAGATTGGAAAGGGACTTAAGTTGGGGACCAGGCCTTGATAATGGGGAAGGCATGTTTGTAGGAGAGGTTCTTTGCTGATAAAAAGATGGCCTGCGCCAGGCAGTGGTGGCGCACGCCTTTAATCCCAGCACTCGGGAGGCAGAGGCAGAGGCAGGCAGATCTTTGTGAGTTCAAGGCCAGCCTGGTCTACAGAACGAGATCCAGGAAAGGCGCAAAGTTACACAGAGAAACCCTGTCTTGAAAGAAAAAAAAAAAAAGATGGCCCGCGATGTTCTTCTCCTGGATGTACCACCCTAAGTAGTGTCTGTGCTGGTGGTTACTTGAGGCCTGGAGCTTGAGTGAGGTTTGGTTGCTTGTGGCTGTAGGGAGCCACAGAGAAGTGGATGCTCACCATGGGCATAGTGTTGTTGCTCGGGAACATGTGGCCCTTCAGATGTGCAGGATTCAGAGAAGTAGACTTGAAATAAAGACAGCCTGGATAAGTGCACTAGAGTAGAAGGGGTAGGAGAGGGTGAGAAAAGTGAGTTGACAAAGAAGTTAGGAGGGATTGGGATGCCGCGTGGTGATACAGTACATGTTTAGTTAGCATGCCCATGCCCTGGCTCCACCCCAGCACTGTAGAAAGCCTAGGGGTCAGACCTGCACCCGATCTGTAGGTTGTGATTAGTTTCCTGAATGGCCTGGTAAACTGCCCTAAAGTTGGGGGTTTCATGTGCAAGTCCAAGCCAACGCTTGGATCTGAGGAGGACTTGCTTTCCTTCAGAAATTGGGTGAAGTGGGAATCCAGGTAGAGCGAGACACAGCTAAGTTTCCAGCTCAGTCAGGAATGTGCCTGCTCTCTTCTCCATCAAGAGCTGCCCACAGGCAACTTTGGCTCCCATTCGCTGCTGCTTCAACTCTTGGCTCCTTGTTCCTTCCCTAGTGTCTGCTCTAGGCATGGGCTGTTGGAGGGCAGCAGAAGGCTTTCTACCTGGCTTAGCAGTGGGTACCTCTTGTCTGAGGCGAGGCTGCAAGCCAGGAACTCGTGCGAGTGGTGGGCGTGGCCTTGAGTGCACGGTGGAACTAAAGGCTCCTGTTCCTTCAAACAGGTTCTCTTCACACCTCCACCGAATCTGCGGGGTGCCATGTGCAGTCGTGGACATGTTTCCCCAATTCCTCATTTCTAGGAGTGTTCTGAAACTCTTGTACGTTTCTTTTTCTGTTTTGCACACTTGGCCTCAGAGTGTTGAAGTCCTACCGGTATGTACGGTGACACGGACCGCTCTTTCTCAGACACCAGCCACATTACATTGTCCCTCTCAGTTCCCACCTGCGTGTGGTCCCTTCCTCTTGTGGTTTCCCCAGTCACTGTCTGCATTTCTGTGATCCTTCCACCCTGAGCATGCTCAGCCCCAGGGCTTGCCTCCATGGCAGTCATGACGTCAGAGCCATCTGCATGTGACCTCATCCTCTGGCCCTGGACATCATGCCTGGTATGTGATGCACCTGTCTTCTTCTCTCCTATAGTGAGGAAGAAAAACTGTCTACCTCTCAAGATGCTGCTTGCAAAGATTCAGAAGAGAACCCCGAACCAGCAGAGGCCAAGTGCACAGCTCCCCGAACCCCCAGCAGTAGTCCTGAGCAAAGGTAACCACCCCACCTGCCTGCACCCTCTGAAGGTTCTACCATGCCTCTGCTTGACATCTCCTGGAAGTTAGAAGGGAGTCAACACTTGAGGGTGGGGCCTTGAAAGGTCTGTACAGCTGTACCGAAACCTTTAGCAGTGTGCTAGGCACAGTGGCATTTCTCGGGTCTCAAGGAGTCGGATGCCCCAGCCAGCAAGCCTGCGTGATGTGCTGCTTGTGCAGGAAGGGTCCTGGGGAGAAATGATTGCTTAGGCAATCTCAGTTTCCTGACTCAGTTCTTCTGAGGCTGTACTATGAATGGTCTTGAGCCCTTCAGGATTGGAGTCCTCAGTGATCCTGTGACGGGAACAGGCCTAACTGCCTCATTTCCCAAAGTCATACTTGGGATACCACGGGACTTGTCTGAGGCCCTTTGCCATGGACTGCTAAATACTTGAAGTCCTAGAAGGGGAGACCCTGTGAGATCAATCCCTGGAAGGTTTACACCATGTGGGTGGGCCCCACTGCCAGAGCCATTTGATTGGGATGTGGTGTTTTCTTTCTAGTCATCTTTTGCTTAGACTGAGCCAGTGGTCTGAAGGGATAGGCCAAGCCAAGGCCTCATCTGCAGAGGGCATATATATGTATATGTGTATATATGTATGTGTGTGTGTGTGTGTGTGTGTGTGTGTGTGTGTGTGTGTGTGTGTGTGTGTACATATTTAACATGTGTATTCCTTCTGGAAGGAATAAAGTGACCTTTAAAGCAATTGCAGAGGCATTGTGCCTTCCCCTGGCCAGACTCCCCCGTAGGCTGCACTCCGCAGAACCAGTGAGCAGGAACCAGCAGGGGGCGCTCACCACTCCTGCTCTGGAAGCGCCTATTCATGCAACCCTCCGCCCTGTTTGGTTTCTCATAGAAATTCTAGGCAAAATGAAGTATGGGTTATGATTAAAAATTGTCTTTTTGCCTATAAAATTAATTGTAGGTACTGTGTAAGCAGATAGCTCTTGGGAAGGCTTGGGGAAAAAGGGCACCAGCTAAGCTTCTAGCTATTTGGGAAAGTCCCCCTTTTCCTGGTATTTGCAAGTATCTTTAAGTGGTTACATCTGCCCGTTGTTTCCTGAGTTGAGGCTGTGGAACAGGCAGGACAGCCAGGCCGTCTTGACAGAAGTCATACAAGAGGCTGCAGTCGCTTCTTGGCTCTGGCTTGGTGACTTATTTGCCAAAGGGCACCTTGGGTTCTTCTCTAGCTGTTCCTTTTCTTTTCTCTGTGTAACAGTCCTGACTGTCCTGGGACTCACTCTGTAGACCAGGCTGGCCTCAAACTCACTGGCCTGCCTCTGCCTCTTAAGTGCTGGGGTTAAAGGTGTCGCCACCACTGTCCAGCCCTCTCTAGCTGTTTATATGGGCATGAAAAGCCCTGCCCTTCAGTCTGCAGGATGAGCTGCAAGATGTTAGGGCAAGCCAGTAGAAGAGCCGGCACTGCTTGTATTGGACCACCTGCCCTTCCCCACCCAGCACTGGTCAGAACAGGACTCACTGGTGAAGCCACAGTGGCAGGTGTCTCATAGCCCAAAGAGCATGCTCAAAGGGAGACTGTAGAGTTGCATGCAGGAGTGAGGGTACTGGGGTTGGCCCCTGAGCAGTGCCAGTGAGCTGGTGCCAGGGGAGCTCAGTGTACTGTCAGCACTCGTGTTGGAAGCAGCTAGTAGGGTGGGCAGAGTGCAGATGGCACCCTCCCAGGGCTGCTTCCCAGGACGGTTCTTACTCGAGCCTGAAGGGTTTGCGTGGCCACTGTATCTAGCTCCACCAGTCTCGTCCCACCTGTTGTTTTCACAGCTGGTGTGCTAGTGTTTGCACACACCAGCCTCACAAAGCCCTAGGGTGGACAGTATTGTCCCCTTGCTGCTGAGGGGAAACAGGACTGAGAGGTTAGCAACCTAACTTTGCAGTCACAACCAGCTCTGTCGGACTAGAATTCTCAGGGACTGAGGCACCATCATGTGTAATTAGAGTACAATTTTGGGGAGCACCTACTGGTTCCTGTCACAGCTGGCAGGCCTCCCGCAGGGAAAGCAGTCCAGGTAAACAGTATTTGTGTCCTTCTGGCTACAGCCTGGCTGAAGCTGTCCAGTGCCTCGGCTCAGGTTGTGGTTGGGCAGAAGCCCCACGTCTGCTTCCATTGGCTACTTGTCTGTCTGTGGCTGTGCCCGCCCTGTGTTCTCAACAGTGGTCCTCTTCACACACCTTTTCCTTCCCCTTTCCTAGTAGCAGAGCTTGGCTCCGCAGGTGGAAGTCGGTTTGCACCCCCGTAGGACAGAGCAGAGTTTCTGAAGCCCAGAGCTGAACTATGGTGTGCATACATACCTACGTGCAGTTCTGAGCAGCTGCGTGGGCAGCTTCCACACACCTGCTCCATCACCATTGGCAGCTGTGTGCCCTAGGGAGGGTGGGCAGAGCTGACCCGCTCAGCTTCAAGTGCCTCAGGTGTCGTCTCCTTCTCTGTAGGACTGACCAGCCAAGTATGCCAAGCGACACGTCAGTTAACGGCCCTGTATGATGAGTGACATCTGCTGCTGCTGACTGAGGACTGCAGGCCACCACCACCCAGGGGCTCTGGAGGGGTCACCCAGAGCTACCAAGCCGCCACTGCTGCACTCTGCAAGGGATCAGGACCAGCAACCTTTATACTCTAGATTCTAAGACATTGTACAGAGAAATTCAGAAGTGTAAAAATACTGCACATTGAGAAATACCAAGAATTTTTGCGTATGTTTATATTGTATTGATCTAAATAATGGGTAGCCTGTGACATCAGATCTTGCCGCCCATGTAATAATAGTAGTGATACATAGTTCAGATGGTTGTAAGAATAGTTTTATAAAGTGACTACACAGATCTATTGTATTCAAAACATAACTATTTGACAATTATTAGTGTGACCAAAGTATTAGGCAGTTTTCATACATTTTCCACCTTGTACAAAATTCTGAATTCATTTTTCTTCCAGGTTGGCACGGAGCTGTCGATGGAAAAGCCCTCTGCGTGTTCTTTTGGTTGTTCTGACTTACAAAGTGATTTTGAATAATACTCGGTGTTCTTTTATAACCCGCTTTTGATTGGTAACTGTTTTCTGTATTGTTGCAGATGGATCAAATGCGTGAGTCTTGGTGGAGATTAAGTATTTATTGCTATGACTTAGTTCTTGTAAAGCCATATGTTCTGTTGAGGTCTTGTTTGCCCAGAGCGTTTCTTCTACAGGTGAAACACTAGAATATTGGAGTACACATGACTGTGGTTGGGTTGGCTTTTTTTTTTTTGTTTTTGTTTTTGTTTTGTTTTTTTGTTTTGTTTGGGGGGGGTTCTGTTTTTTGTTTTGTTTTGGTAGTTCATCTGCCTTTTAACCCAGTCACCAAAACATCCCTTGTCAGCAAGCATCACTGGTGGCCATTTCAGAGTGGTCTGCATCCACACTGCTCCGAGTCACAGAAGTGAGTCCCTGGAAATGCTCGCGCTGGTGACGGAGTAGGATGCGACCATCAAGCGGGCTGGCTTTAACAGAATCACAACCTGGCACCAAGCATGTTTCTTGTTTTACTGTACCTTGTGAGCTTTTCACTCGTGAACCAGTGGATTTTGAACTGGTCTGTGTGTATATAGTGATTATGGATACTAATTCAGTGTAATTTATAATTTTCTATGTCAGCATAAACACATCCCAGCCTCCTCCAACAGCTGAAGCAATGGCCTGTGCACTGCCGTGGCGTCTGGGGAAAGGGCTCAGTCACCTCACCTCCTGCACTTTTAGATGCAGATCAGTTTTTCATTTCTTTAATAGGAAATTATTCACGTATTTTTACATCATTTGTTTTTCCTGACCAGTATTTAAAACCAAAAGGATATTCTGAAAAATGGCCAACAAGTTTTTTAGAACCAGCATCCCAAGCAGCGTGCCTACATGACATCGCGTGTGGAAAGAAGAGTCAAGTGTCCGATGCCTTACTCCTTCCTCGCTTCTCACTGTAGACAGTGCAGGGGCTGCCTCAGGTGACCGAGGCAGGTCTGGTCACCAGGCTCAGTGGGCAGCAGGAGGCTCTGGGACTGGTGGTGAGGGGCTCGGTGGCCTGTGCATGCCCACCCAGGACCCTTAAGTCACAGCTCCTTCAGGAGAGGCTGCTCTCCTCTGGAACCTGGTGCCACCAGAGGACAGGGCTCCTTCTGCTCGTCTCAGGGATGGTCGACCTGCGTGGCCCAGGACCTCACATTGCTGGCGGATGGTATGCTCCTGTCTCTCCTGGTGATGAGCCTTGCTTGCCACAGCCAGGGTTTGGCCCTCTGTCAGCCCACACTGCCTCTTTGCTGTGGATTGGGCTGGCTTTTCCATCCCACCGTCCACTAGGGAAGGAGCACTTGGGTGCTGTCTTGGGGAAGAACTTCGGTTTGCTTGGGGAACGGCTGTGAGGGTAAGAGGGATGGGGGTGTCGGGTAGGAGGTGCCAGCCAGGGCTTGAGATGAGTTCCTGCTCCTTTCCTTTCTGTGTATTGGCCGTATGAATCGCAAGACTAACAGATGTCTGCAGTACAGTACCTGTATTAAAAGTAATAACAAAATAAAGCCTGATGCTTTCTTTCTAAAGAGTTCCTCTTGTGCCTTCTTTGGGTTCTAGTAGCCACATGGTATGGGGCTGTGCCAGAGCCCTCCAGCTTTCTCCTGTCTTGGCTCTTGGGCATGCCAGCTCCGGAGAAACGCTCTCAGCCACTGCTGTGACCCACACCTACCTACAGCCATCCGTGCCTGACCCGTGGGTGCTCAGTACGTTTTCGCTAAGAGGAATTGGCCATCAGCTGCCGTCTTGAGATCCTCTGCCTGGTCCTCCTGCTTGTCAGCTTTGTCATGTCTCACTCCCGCCCTGTTGCTCTGGTTGCCAGCAGATAGCATTAGGATGGTTCACAGATTCCTGTTGCTGTCGGTGGTTGTTGTTGTTTGAGACAGGGTTTCTCTGTGTAGTTTTGGTGCCTGTCCTGGATCTCGCTCTGTAGACCAGGCTGGCCTTGAACTCACAGAGATCCTCCTGGCTCTGCCTCCCAAGTGCTGGGATTAAAGGTGTGCACCACCACCGCCCGGCTCTATTCCTGTCTTAAAGAATGCCCCCCTCCCCCAGCTGAGCAGTCCACTAGCAGTCTCCAGAACCCACATGGCTGCAGGAGGAGAGATAACCTTGTCGCTGTAGTCCTCACTGTTCTGAAACTTGATGGAGACCAGGTTGGCCTTGAACTCACAGAGGTCCTTCTGCCTCTGCCTTTAGTCTGCTGATATTAATGAAGTCATCCACATGCCGGGGCAAAGGGAGAAACAGCTCTTCGGCTGTCCTGACCTCTACATGCACATCATGGCATTTCTGTGCCATTCAGCTCACACATAATCAGAACACATGGCAGTAGTTGTAGTGTCTGCCTTTTTTTGTTTTTTTAAAGAAATACTGAACTGGCTGAGTGAAGCATACCTATAATCCCAGCACCTAGGAGGCTGAGGCAGAAGGATCGCCAGTTCAAAGCCACTGTAGGCTGCCTAGACCGTCACATGTGTGAGGTTGTTCATGTGCCATCATGCATGTGTGGAACTCAAATGTCAGCTTGGGGGAATTGGCTTTCTCCTTCCACTATCTGGATCTAAGGCACTGGTTCTCAACCTTCCTGGTGCTGGGACCCTTTAATACAGTTCCTCATGCTGTGGGCACTCCAACCATAAAATTATCTCATATGCAGGATATCTGACATGCAACCCCTGTGAAATGTTCGTTTGAGCCTAAAGGGATCGCTACCCACAGGTTGAGAACTGCTGGTCCAAGGTATTGAACAGTTGATGGGCAGGCGCTCTCATAGACTGAGCCTTCGTGCTGGCTCAGAGACACTGCCTTCAAGGCAGAAGCAGGAGGAATGGCATGCCATAACTCATTTCTCATCACATTTGTTCTGCCTCTGCCAGGCACATGCCTCACGCTCCTGGATTCTGCAGCTATCCCAGACAGGTGTCAACACGGGCAACGTCATGGGCTCTAGAGATAGCCCTGAAAACCACAGCTGGCTTTGGCCGTAGATGCTAGTGCGGCAAGGGCAGGTCGGTTCCTCTGCTGGTTTCTCTGGGGGTCAAGAGTATGTGTGCATAGAATCTAGTGGGATGGTTCCTGATGATGGTGAAGGTGCCGTCGTCCTGCGCTAGCACAGCGGCACCTGCTGTTGGCTTTTTGGTGTGTTCACTCATGCTGTTCATGTTTCTTCAGTCAGATGTATTTAATTGTCATGTGTTGGGGTCTGCTACAACGTGTGTGCCAACCTTGGTACAACACTTGGACTTGTAAATAAAACTGCACAAGGCTGGAGCAATGGCTTACCAGGTAAGAGCCATGGCTTTTCTTGAAGAGGACCCAGGTTCAATTCTAGCCTCCATGTCAGGCCACTCACAGCCACCTATGTGTAATTCAAGTTCCAGAGACCCTCTTCTGACCTCTGTGGGCACTGCACACACATGGTGCACATACGTGCAGACAAGACACTGAAGCATGTAGAAATTACGTTTGCGTAGAAAGAGAAAAGCACTGTTTCTTACTGTGTTAACACAAAAGTTACCCCGTGGTGGATATCAGCTCTAAACATAAGCTTTTACAAGAAAAAAAGGAGAAATAAGGTAGGATAGTCACCTTTGCAGTGGGTGAGTACTCAGATGGCAAGTCAACATGAGAGGTCCGACATTACCTGTCCTGGGGGGTGTCGGTTATACTTGCTATAACTACCTGGCAAGAAGCAACCCGGGGCTGGAGAGATGGCTCAGCAGAGATGTTGCTGCTCTTCCAAAGGACCGAGGGTCCATTCTCGGCAGTCATGCGGCAGGCCATAAAGCTTAACAACCATGGATAGCCCAATTTCTAGCAGATCCAACTCCCTCTCCTGGCCTCCATGAACACCAGGCACACACCTAGTATACATACTTAGGCAGACACTCATAAACAAACTATAGTTGGACTTTCTTTGGACTGCAAGCTCCCAAATAATGACATGAAGACTTTTTATTAATTACGAAAGCTTGATCTTAATTTAGGCTTGTTCTCAACTAACTCTTAAAACTAGAAATTAACCTGTTTATATTAATATACATTCTGCCACATGGCTTATTACCTCTCCTCAGTACCTTACATACGACTTCCTCTGTTTCTGGCTGACGAATCTCCCACCTCAGATTCTTTCCCAGAGTTCCTGTTTCTCCCTTGAAGTCCCTCCTGTCCTCTCGTGCCTAGCTATTGGCTGTTCAGCTCTTTATTAAACAATCAGAAGGTGCCTTAGGCAGGTGAGGAAGGACAGAGACACACCTTTACACAGTGTACAAAAAGATTGTCCCAACAACAAACCTTTAAAATAAAGTACTTGCCGCTCTTCCAGAGGATCCAAGTTCAGTTCCCAGCACCCACATTGAGTGGCTCACAATTGCTTGTAACTTCAGCTGCAGGGGCTGTGATCTGGTCCATATGGGCAAATTTTCCCACAAATAATGAAACATCTTTAGCAAGATCAAGTACTGGTGAGAGCATGAAGCATTGGAGCATCTGTCATTACTGCAAATGATGCACCTGTTTAGAAAGTTGCTGAGCATGTGTGGTTTTGTTTTGGCTTTTGTGGGGGTGGATTTTAATTATGCAAACGGACTTATAATTCAATGATTTACATGTTCACATAATGACAACATGCCCACAAAATATTTTCACAGAGAAATTTATTGTCACAAATTTACTGATAATAACTGTCCAATGGCCAGAAAATAGGTGGATGACAGTCCAGTCACATACTAGAAGTCTACCCTGAATAAACAAGAATGAACTATGATGAGTGCCTCAGTGTACCTGAACCTCAAAGTATAGTGGGGATGGAGACCCAGAGTGCATAGGTCCACCTGTCTACAAAGTCATAGAATGGGGCAAACCATTTGGTAGTACCATAAATAAAAACTTTCCTCACAAGAAGGAGGTATTTGATTTTCTTCTACCATAAGTTATACTGCTGCAGACCATAAGTTATACCAAGGTTTACTGTGGCTGTGGTTCTGGTCCAAGGTTGTGACAGCTAGCAGAGTCCTGGCAGCCCCAGGCATCCTGTGCAGAGACAGGAGCATGTGTGTTTGCTTTCTGGGTTCCCTCTCATCTAATAGGACTGCACCCTGGTGACCTTATCAGATCCCAATCGCTTCTCCCAAGGACTCATCTCCAGACGCCAGAGTCAGATCAATCCCCTCCACTTCATCCTCACAGTGGGGATTCAACTCTAAAGTGAGTTTTGGAGAGACACGCCATACTTAAGCCATAACAATAAAGAGGCGTGGGAACTGAGTAAGGCCATCTTCCATATCTTAACTATGTTGGACTTGATGTCATCAGAAGCAGTGGTGATCTTAGAGGACCCTGTGTTCCACCTGAGGTAGAGCTGACATTTCCTCTAGTGGCCTAGCAAGAGGACTGCCATGTTTGGTGCTAAAGAGACAATTCTGTGGTTGGGACAGATGCCCCTTCTGTGCTATGTAGCAGGTGCTTGGCACCCTTGGTGAGCTGGGAGACACATGCAAAACACATGCTTCTCCCAAGTACTCTTGTCTCCTTTTTGTAAGTGTTATAGCTCTGGTGGGAAATATAACATGAATCTTAAAAGGTCTTATTAATAGAAAACCCAGAGCCAAAATTGGGGTGAAGGCTGAAAGATCAGAAAAGCAGAACAAGCCATAACAAACCTCACCTCACCAACTCCTCAGCTGATCCTGTTGCCTCAGACTGAAAGCCTCTGAGTCCTCACCCGAAAGGGTCTCAGCTGAACTGCCTTAGTTCCTGTCTCCTCACCCCTTATAGACCTTTCTCCACCCTGCCGTCACTTCCTGCGATTAAAGGCGTGTGTGCTTCCCAGTACTGGGATTAAAGGTGTGTGCCACCACTGCCTGGCTCTGTTTCCAGTGTGGCCTTGAACTCACAGAGATTCAGATGGATCTCTGCCTCTTGAGTGATAGGGTTAAGGGTGTGTGCCACCACTGTCTGGCCTCTATGTTTAATTAGTGGCTGACTCTGCTCTCTGATCCTCAGGCAAGTTTATTAGGGTGGACAATATATCACCACATTTCCCCTTTTTGTCTAAAATAATAAATGGTTATAAATAATATAAGAAAAACTATATACAATAAGTATATACAATATATACAGTCAAGAATTACATTAACAATGTCCAGTCCATTGACATGTGACAGATTCGGAGAAAATACTCCATTTTTATCCTATTTTAGTGAGTCCAAAATGTTGTACCTAATTCACTTTCCATCCTAACTTGTATTACCAAAAACTATCTTTTGATGTCTTTCAAACTTATACACTTTACACATCTTTAGTGAGTTTCTTTTCTGAATTTATTAACAAGGAAAACCCTATAAAATCTTCAACTCCCTCAGAGACTCAAGAAGGAAATAATATTACCTAAGTAAACAGGAAGTGTAAACAAGTGACTTCCAAAAAATGTGAGAAATGATAGAAACAGCTGGTTGCCTAGACAGCCACCCAAGATTTCTCTGCAACGTTGGGGCATCCATCTTTGGCCTACAGGCCTAGCATATCT